TGCTCCGCTCCGCCCGCGGCCCGGAGGTCGGGTGGGGGCTTCTCGGGCCCGCGGGCCGTTTTCGCGCGCTTGCAGGCGTCGGGATTCGCCCTCGGCGTCCCCCTCCCGCGCCGCGCCGCGCCTAGACAATGGGCCCGGGCGCGGGCCCTTCCTCCCCAGCAGACTGACGCGACTCACAAAAATAGCTCCGGCTCCTGGATCCCCCGCCCTGGCCGCAGCCCTGGCCGCCGCAGCCTCCCTTGGGGAGCGGGTCTCGGGGTCCCCTCTCTGCCGGCGCTGGCACTGCCAGACCCTGGAACGGGGCAGGGAAGGGCAGCGTCAGACCGAGGGGCAGGGGGACGTCAGAGGTGGGGGTGGGGGTGCCGCCCTGGGGAGTGAGGGCGGTGGGGTCACGTCCCCGTTACACCCCCTGGAGAAGGGACAGGACGGCGCTGGCTTCGGTGAGCTGCCAGCCTGCCCGAGCTGCGCCACCCGGACCCAGCCAAGTCGCGTTCCCACCCACCCTCGCGCCCTTGCCCTGCCCTGGGCTCTGCCCTCCCCTCCCCCAGCCCCGCCATGTGACACCCGGGCTCTCTTTCCTGATGAAGTTCCAGGGGGCTTCACCCGGTCGCCTTTACGCTGGAGAGCCCAGGCCTGTGCCCAGGGCGCCCTGGAGGCGCAGCTCTTCCTGGGGGGATAAGCACACCCGCCTGCCCCACATAACTTTTCCTGACCTTTGCCGGACACCCCCCTTGGCTGCCTGGTTTTGTTCCCGCTGGCTCAGCGTGCTGACATCCCGGGTAATGTTAGCATCTGGGGAGAGCACCCCCTGCCACCCACTATGGGAGCTGAGAACCACCTGCCCGCAGGGGAACAGCTCAGCGGGAATCGCAGCACCAGGCTCGGCGTGCGCCTGGGGTTTCAGACATATTCGGGGGCTGAGATGAAATGTGTCTGTAGCTTGGAGTTGGTGGCACCGTGGGTTACAAACACCACTGTTCCCTGGGTTCCACTTCCTGTCAACCCAATTCAATGGTTTTATTGTGGTTTGTAAACACAGAGGGGTGTAAACACCTCTAGGTGCAGAGGAAACTGAGGGTGTGTTATGAACACCCACATCTGGTGTAGAGTCGCTCTGCAGGGGAGGCAACCAGCATGAATTGGGGGGTCACGTCTTCCCAGCTCTAGCTTATGAGACAGAAAAGATGGAAATGGGGTCACGGGGGAAGGAAATGAAAATGTTAATCATTTATGAATAGAAACCAAAATTTTATAAAAATACTTTTCATCTTCCTTTCATAAGTTATGATAAAATATACGATATCGTTAGTACCAAAGCATGTGAGTAGACTCCATCTGCAGAAGGCAGGACAAGTCACCGCATCTTTGGAATTCCCAAGGTGAGCCACTGCATCCCCCACCCTCTGGAATGAGTCCAGGGAATGGAAATGAAATGTCAGGGCTGGAAAAGACCCTTCAGGTCATTCCGATGTCCAGCCCTGCCAATGAGGAAACTGAGACTTGTCCAGGGTGGAAGCTGCAGGCACGCTGCCAGCTCCAAGACCAAAGGCTGAGGGCCTCCTGCTGTGTTCGTCACTCCACCCTCCAGCCACAGGCTGTTTTAATTCAATGGGGAATAAAGTTGTAAACCACCTCAATTCAGTTGCAAAGGACAGAAATGCAACTCAAATTTAGTTGGACAAAAAATATTCACTAACATAATTGGAAAGTTCAAGATAAGGGTTCTCTGCAGGCATGGCTAGATCCAGGAGCTCGAGAAATCTTCAGACTGGGCCCCTCTCCATCTCTCCTCTGTCTTCCTCTGTGTGGATTCTTTCTCCCACTGGCAGCCTATGACTTAGGCCCTTGGTTTAAATCCTAGGCTGGCAAAGCTCCATCTCTTTCTCAGTAAATCTAACAAAAGCCTGGGACACACATCTCTTTGGCCTGCCTGGCCCACACCGAATCAAGCACGATTGTCCAGGAGGGTGAACTCACTGATTGACACGGCCCTGGGGGCTAAAACTGGGGAGGGTGGTTTCCAAAGAAGAATCAGGGATCTGTTACCAAAACGACAACTGATAGTGAATAAGCAAAAATAACAGATGTTAGCGTAATTCATGAGGATGTCATTTCAGTTATTGGAAACCCTGGGAAGGCAGGATTTTGTGTTTTGATTTTCTTGGCTCTCTTCAATCCCTGCCCCATAGGTAGCCACCTTCTCATGAGACTGTTCTTTTTTTTCTCTTTTCTCTCTGCCACAGACAGGGCTGAGGCCAGGCACCAGCCCCAAATGGGACTTTGCTTAGCAGCCTGGGACCTTTGGAAAGGGACAGACCAGCATGGAAGCCTCTTCATGTGGCTCCCACAAATGATCTCAACATAATACTCCTTTACGTCATTTTCTTCTACCCCAGTCAGGTCTTGCGTTTATTTTAAGGATAGTAGGAGAGACAGATTTTAGTAAAATACCCGATGTGTTTTCTCCGTGCTGTACTCATTACTACCAACAGCCTTGGTGGTTTTGACTACAGCCCCCACATTTTGCGCCCTCATGGTGGGGTTTAGTAATACAGGGCTGTCTGCTGTTCAGTAGAAAAAGCAGACTAATAGACATTAATAGAGCCTTCCAGAACAGAGCCGTTAAACAGCAACTCAGCATAATTGAATAGCAACCACTCTACATTCTAATTTTGCTCACCAGGTGATAAGTTGATTTTACAATTGATAATTTAACTTCTAACACATAAAAATGTCATTCGGTTGAGTCAACTAGGACCTTTTTTAAAAATACGGATTTTAACTGAAAAGTGCTAGAATTAGGAAAAGGAAAGTAATGTTTACCACTCATGTCAGACATGAAAGGCCTGCTTCCAGCGTATTTCTTCGTGGACATCCATCAGGGCTAACAGCTTGGCATTGCTGACAGAGCACGTGGGTGCTATTTATTTCTTCCCCAGGTTCCAGCTATGTGGCAATACCTACCTCACCATGCCTCAAGCTTCCCGTCTCTAAAATGTATCTAACACGTGGTGGTTGTGAAGATGAAATGAAATGACACATGTACAGAGTTTGACACAATGCCTGGCACATGGTGTCTAATAAATGTCAGCTTTTATAGCTGCAAGATGTACATTGCCATTTAAATACAGATGCTCCTGACTTACGATGGTTCAACTGAATGATTTTTTTTACTTTATCGTGGTGCGGAAGCTGTACTCATTCAGTAGAAACTGTACTAAAAAGTGTCCACACAAGTGTTCTGTTTTTCACTTTCAGGACAGTGGTCAATAAGTTACATTATTTATTTTTTATAGTCAATAGTTCATTATAAATAGGCTTTGTGTGAGACGATTTTGCCCAGCTGTAGGCTAATGTAAGTGTTCTGAGCAGGTTTAATATAGGCAAGGCTAAGCAATGGTGTTTGGTGGGTTAGATGTATTAAATGTATTTTTGACTTATAGTATTTTCATCTTATGGTGGGTTTAATCAGGATATGACCCTGTGTTAGGCCCAGGAGCGTCTGTAATGATGGCTGCCCCATTGATTCTACTGAATGAAATATATTGGCCACAGTGTACCATTTTTTCATTTTAATAATCAGAATAAGACATTTCTCAAAGAATAGCGTGCACTTATGTCCTATCTGAAAAGAATTTCACTTCTAGCAGCACCGATATGTCAGGCCCTCTCTCTCTTATTCTGCACCAAGATGGCTTTACTCCCAGAGAAGAACTCATTTATATCACGTAAACAGAATGCAATAACCTGGCAGTAATTTTGAAATTGCATCCTAAAATATTTTCCTTTTTTTCCCTTTCAAGTCTTAGAAATGAAATGTGCCACCAATGAAAATAACTTTTGAGTGAATCTAACTAATGGAACAATAAATTACATCATTATTATCTTTGCAAAGGTGCGCATCGTATCTATGCTTGAGTATGTACAAGGGTAAAGATCAGAACATGGGTGTGTGTGCCTGTACACACACAGGTGAGTGTGTCATTCTTTGCAT